GGTAGCTGGGGGAGGAGACGGCTCATTATACTGGTAGCTGGGGGAGGAGACGGCTCATTATACTGGTAGCTGGGGGAGGAGACGGTTCATTATACTGGTAGCTGGGGGAGGAGACGGCTCATTATACTGGTAGCTGGGGGAGGAGAAGGCTCATTATACTGGTAGCTGGGGGGAGGGGGAGAGCTGGGGGAGGAGACGGTTCATTATACTGGTAGCTGGGGGAGGAGACGGATCATTATACTGGTAGCTGGGGGAGGAGACGGCTCATTATACTGGTAGCTGGGGGAGGAGACGGCTCATTATACTGGTAGCTGGGGGAGGAGACGGCTCATTATACTGGTAGCTGGGGGAGGAGACGGCTCATTATATTGGTAGCTGGGGGAGGAGACGGTTCATTATACTGGTAGCTGGGGGAGGAGACGGTTCATTATACTGGTAGCAGGGGGAGGAGACGGTTCATTATATTGGTAGCTGGGGGAGGAGACGGCTCATTATACTGGTAGCTGGGGGAGGAGACGGTTCATTATACTGGTAGCTGGGGGAGGAGACGGCTCATTATACTGGTAGCTGGGGGAGGAGACGGCTCATTATACTGGTAGCTGGGAGAGGAGAAGGCTCATTATACTGGTAGCTGGGAGAGGAGACGACTCATTATACTGGTAGCTGGGAGAGGAGAAGGCTCATTATACAGGTAGCTGGGGGGAGGAGACGGTTCATTATACTGGTAGCGGGTGGGGGGGAGGAGACGGCTCATTATACTGGTAGCTGGGGGGAGGAGACGGTTCATTATACTGGTAGCTGGGGGAGGAGACGGCTCATTATACTGGTAGCTGGGGGAGGAGACGGTTCATTATACTGGTAGCTGGGGGAGGAGACGGTTCATTATACTGGTAGCTGGGGGAGGAGACGGTTCATTATACTGGTAGCTGGGGGAGGAGACGGTTCATTATATTGGTTGCTGGGGGAGGAGACGGTTCATTATACTGGTAGCTGGGGGAGGAGACGGCTCATTATACTGGTAGCTGGGGGAGGAGACGGTTCATTATACTGGTAGCTGGGGGAGGAGACGGTTCATTATATTGGTAGCTGGGGGAGGAGACGGCTCATTATACTGGTAGCTGGGGGAGGAGACGGCTCATTATACTGGTAGCTGGGGGAGGAGACGGTTCATTATATTGGTAGCTGGGGGAGGAGACGGCTCATTATACTGGTAGCTGGGGGAGGAGACGGTTCATTATACTGGTAGGTGGGGGAGGCGACGGTTCATTATACTGGTAGCTGGGGGAGGAGACGGTTCATTATACTGGTAGCTGGGGGAGGAGACGGTTCATTATACTGGTAGCTGGGGGAGGAGACTGCTCATTATACTGGTAGCTGGGGAGGAGACGGTTCATTATACTGGTAGCTGGGTGAGGAGACGGTTCATTATACTGGTAGCTTGGAGAGGTGACGGCTCATTATACTGGTAGCTGGGGGAGGAGACGGTTCATTATATTGGTAGCTGGGGGAGGAGACGGTTCATTATATTGGTAGCTGGGGGAGGAGACGGTTCATTATATTGGTAGCTGGGGGAGGAGACGGTTCATTATACTGGTAGCTGGGGGAGGAGACGGTTCATTATACTGGTAGCTGGGGGAGGAGACGGTTCATTATACTGGTAGCTGGGGGAGGAGACGGTTCATTATATTGGTAGCTGGGGGAGGAGACGGCTCATTATTCAGGTAGCTGGGGGAGGAGACGGTTCATTATTCAGGTAGCTGGGGGAGGAGACGGCTCATTATACTGGTAGCTGGGGGAGGAGACGGCTCATTATACTGGTAGCTGGGGGAGGAGACGGTTCATTATACTGGTAGCTGGGGGAGGAGACGGCTCATTATACTGGTAGCTGGGGGAGGAGACGGCTCATTATACTGGTAGCTGGGGGAGGAGACGGCTCATTATACTGGTAGCTGGGGGAGGAGACGGCTCATTATACTGGTAGCTGGGGGAGGTGGAGGCTCATTATACTGGTAGCTGGGGGAGGACGGACGGCTCATTATACTGGTAGCTGGGGGAGGAGACGGCTCATTATACTGGTAGCTGGGGGAGGAGACGGCTCATTATACTGGTAGCTGGGGGAGGAGACGGCTCATTATACTGGTAGCTGGGGGAGGAGACGGCTCATTATACTGGTAGCTGGGGGAGGAGACGGTTCATTATACTGGTAGCTGGGGGAGGAGACGGCTCATTATACTGGTAGCTGGGGGAGGAGACGGTTCATTATACTGGTAGCTGGGGGAGGAGACGGCTCATTATACTGGTAGCTGGGGGAGGAGACGGCTCATTATACTGGTAGCTGGGGGAGGAGACGGCTCATTATACTGGTAGCTGGGGGAGGAGACGGCTCATTATACTGGTAGCTGGGGGAGGAGACGGCTCATTATACTGGTAGCTGGGGGAGGAGACGGTCATCATTATATACTGGTAGCTGGGGGAGGAGACGGTTCATTATACTGGTAGCTGGGGGAGGAGACGGCTCATTATACTGGTAGCTGGGGGAGGAGACGGTTCATTATTATACTGGTAGCTGGGGGAGGAGACGGCTCATTATACTGGTAGCTGGGGGAGGAGACGGCTCATTATACTGGTAGCTGGGGGAGGAGACGGCTCATTATACTGGTAGCTGGGGGAGGAGAAGGCTCATTATACTGGTAGCTGGGAGAGGAGACGGTTCATTATATTGGTAGCTGCTCATTATACTGGTAGGGGAGGAGACGGCTCATTATACTGGTAGCTGGGGGAGGAGACGGCTCATTATACTGGTAGCTGGGGGAGGAGACGGTTCATTATACTGGGGGGAGGAGACGGCTCATTATACTGGTAGCTGGGGGAGGAGACGGTTCATTATACTGGTAGCTGGGGGAGGAGACGGCTCATTATACTGGTAGCTGGGGGAGGAGACGGTTCATTATATTGGTAGCTGGGGGAGACGGCTCATTATACTGGTAGCTGGGGGAGGAGACGGCTCATTATACTGGTAGCAGGGGGAGGAGACGGTTCATTATACTGGTAGCTGGGGGAGGAGACGGCTCATTATACTGGTAGCTGGGGGAGGAGACGGCTCATTATACTGGTAGCTGGGGGAGGAGTCGGTCCACTTCACTAGTGGCTGGGGAGGGCTGGGGGACCCCTACACTAGTGGTTGGGGAGGGCAGGGGGACCACTACACTAGTGGCTGGGGAGGGCTGGGGGAGCCCTACACTAGTGGCTGGGGAGGGCAGGGGGACCCCTACACTAGTGGCGGGGGAGGGCAGGGGGGATCCCTACACTAGAGGCTGGGGAGGGCAGGGGGACCACTACACTAGTGGCTGGGGAGGACAGGGGGACCCCTACACTAGTGGCTTGGGAGGGCAGGGGGACCCCTACACTAGTGGCTGGGGAGGGCAGGGGGACCCCTACACTAGTGGCTGGGGAGGGCAGGGGGACCCCTACATTAGTGGCTGGGGACCCCTACACTAGTGGCTGGGGACCCCTACACTAGTGGCTGGGGACCCCTACACTAGTGGCTGGGGACCCCTACACTAGTGGCTTGGGACCCCTACACTAGTGGCTGGGGACCCCTACACTTGTGGCTGGGGACCCCTACACTAGTGGCTGGGGACCCCTACACTAGTGGCTGGGGACCCCTACACTAGTGGCTGGGGACCCCTACACTAGTGGCTGGGGACCCCTACACTAGTGGCTGGGGACCCCTACACTAGTGGCTGGGGACCCCTACACTAGTGGCTGGGGACCCCTACACTAGTGGCTGGGGACCCCTACACTAGTGGCTGGGGAGGGCAGGGGGACCACTACACTAGTGGCTGGGGAGGGCTGGGGGGGACCACTACACTAGTGGCGGGGGAGGGCAGGGGGGACCACTACACTAGTGGCTGGGGAGGGCAGGGGGACCACTACACTAGTGGCGGGGGAGGGCAGGGGGGACCACTACACTAGTGGCTGGGGAGGGCAGGGGGACCACTACACTAGTGGCTGGGGAGGGCAGGGGGGACCACTACACTAGTGGCGGGGGAGGGCAGGGGGGTCCACTACACTAGTGACTGGGGAGGGCAGGGGGGACCACTACACTAGTGGCGGGGGAGGGCAGGGGGGACCACTACACTAGTGGCTGGGGAGGGCAGGGGGGACCACTACACTAGTGGCGGGGGAGGGCAGGGGGGACCACTACACTAGTGGCTGGGGAGGGCAGGGGGGACCCCTACACTAGTGGCGGGGGAGGGCAGGGGGGACCACTACACTAGTGGCTGGGGAGGGCAGGGGGGACCCCTACACTAGTGGCGGGGGAGGGCAGGGGGGACCACTACACTAGTGGCTGGGGAGGGCAGGGGGACCACTACACTAGTGGCGGGGGAGGGCAGGGGGGACCACTACACTAGTGGCTGGGGAGGGCAGGGGGGACCACTACACTAGTGGCGGGGGAGGGCAGGGGGACCACTACACTAGTGGCTGGGGAGGGCCGGGGGGACCCCTACACTAGTGGCGGGGGAGGGCAGGGGGGACCACTACACTAGTGGCTGGGGAGGGCAGGGGGGACCCCTACACTAGTGGCGGGGGAGGGCAGGGGGGACCACTACACTAGTGGCTGGGGAGGGCAGGGGGACCACTACACTAGTGGCGGGGGAGGGCAGGGGGGACCACTACACTAGTGGCTGGGGAGGGCAGGGGGGACCACTACTCTAGTGGCGGGGGAGGGCAGGGGGGACCACTACACTAGTGGCTGGGGAGGGCAGGGGGGACTACTACACTAGTGGCTGGGGAGGGCAGGGGGAGCACTACACTAGTGGCGGGGGAGGGCAGGGGGGACCACTACACTAGTGGCGGGGGAGGGCTGGGGGGACCACTACACTAGTGGCTGGGGAGGGCAGGGGGACCACTACACTAGTGGCGGGGGAGGGCAGGGGTGGGGGGACCCCTACACTAGTGGCGGGGGAGGGCAGGGGGTAATAAAGGAGCAGCACCACTTACATGAGTACGTAGATGGAGTTGCTCTTGATGGCCACCACCGTAGCGGCGCCTGCAACAACCACCACCGACACTCGCATCACCATCAGCACCTCCCAGTCACTGGCCTGCAACACAACACAACAATCAGCACCTCCCAGTCACTGGCCTGCAACACAACACAACAATCAGCACCTCCCTGTCACTGGCCTGCAACACAACACAACAATCAGCACCTCCCTGTCACTGGCCTGCAACAAAACACAACAATCAGCACCTCCCAGTCACTGGCCTGCAACACAACACAACAATCAGCACCTCCCTGTCACTGGCCTGCAACACAACTCAGCCATCAGTACTTCCTAGTCACTGGTGTCATGATCCCAGGTAGCCGAAAAAACGAGTCTCCCCTTTGAGAATTATTCTATCAAGCCTGACCTGACTAGGAGGTCGGAGATATACTGACATGAAGATTCATATGTAAAAATAATTGGGTAAATTTTACAAACTGTCCTGGAGAGACAGGAAGCCAGTGTCAACATACAAGCTAAGGATGGGAGTCGAACGAAAGGCACCAGAACTGAGGTGCAACCCAGTATGGTGCAAAGCATCAAGACGGCGAAGAGTAGAAGGAGAAGCAGATGAGTAAGCAGGGCAACCATAATCGAGCTTAGACAGGACAAGAGAGGAATGTAAAGCAAGGAGAGTGCGCCTATCTGCTCCCCAAGAAGTATGGGACAAGACCCGAAGGAGGGTAAGGGCCTTAGAGCACTCAACACGAAGGTAAGAGATATGGGGAGACCAAGACAAACGAGTGTCAAGGAATAACCCCAAAAGCTTTGCGGAATCTTTGTATTCAAGGGGATGACCATAAAGTGACAAAGAGGGACGAAGAACAACCCGTTTCCGCGTAAAAGTCATGGCACAAGTCTTAGAAGTAGAGAACTTGAAGCCATGATCGGTGGCCCAAGACGACACGGCATCAATTGCAAGTTGAAGCCGGCGCTGAAGGAGAGGCGAATCATCACTCTGACTGCAAAGGGTAAGATCATCGACATAGAGAGTGGAGAAGACGCCAGAAGGAAGAGGAAAGAAGACCATTGAGGGCAACCAGAAAAAAAGTAGTGCTCAGAACACTACCCTGGGGCTCACCCTCGTATCGCTGAAAAGAGGCAGAGAGAGCGGTAAGAGCCGCACCCGAAAGGAACGACGAGAGAGGAAGCTTTGGAGAAAGAGAGGGAGATGACCACGAAGGCCAAAAGAATGAAGCTGGGATAGAATATGATATCGCTAAGTGGTGTCGTAAGCCTTTTCCAGTTCAAAAAGGATGGCAACAACGGAGGTCTTTGCCGCATAAGCAGTACGAATATAGACCTCTAAGTTCACCAGGACATCTGTCGTGCTGCGGCACTTGTGGAAACCAAATTGAGAAGGAGAGAGGAGGTGATGGTGTTCCAGGAACCACATCAGACGAACGTTAACCATACGTTCAAAGAGTTTGCAGACACAACTTGTGAGGGCAATAGGGCGAAAGTCCTTAGGGATGTTCACAGAGACCCTGGTTTGCGAACAGGGAGGAAAACGGCATCGAGCCAGTCCTCAGGGACTGACGACGACTCCCAGATCCGATTATATAGACTCAATAAATACTGAGACGTGCACGGAGGGAGATGGAGAAGCATCTCATAATGAATACCATCGGAGCCCGCTGCAGTAGAACCGCAGAGGGCCAGGGCAGAACGAAGTTCAGAAAGAGAGCGAAGGGATCGTTATAGGGAAGTCGAAGACGAGTGCAGAAATCTAAAGGACGAGACTCAAGGACAGGTTTACGAAGAAGGAAAGATTGGGGAAGATGAAGACCAGAGCTAACAGCAGAAAAATGGGAACCCAGTTCGGTAGCGACCTGCAACGGGTCCACCACAAGAGTAACACAGAGGTGCAGGACCAGTGAAACATCGGGAACGATCTAACCCGCTATACGGGTAAGATCTTGCGGATACGCTTCCAGATCTGTGGCAGAGGAGTTTCGGACATAATGGTGGAGACATAAGATGCCCAACATTCACGTTTATCCGTACAGATGGCCCTACGGGCCACCGCACTCGCCTTCTGAAAGAAAAGAAAAGAATCGGCCGTCTGCCGATGGGTGGTGTCTCCTTCAGGCTGCACGCTTACAGCGGACAGCCCGAGCACAGTCTGCATTCCACCAGGGAACGCACTTTCATGGACCCCGAGAGGAAGAGCAAGGAATAGAGCGGAGGGCAGTGTCGAAGACAGTGTCATGAAAAAGGAGGAGAGAGCGAGTGAGAGGGAGAAGGGAGAGGTCAGAGAGAGCAGCACTAAGGGTAAAGAGGTTCCAGCCCGCTTTGGCAAACTGCCACCTAGGGAAGGAGAGGGGGGGCGAAAAGAGAAAAAGGTAACAAGGATGGAGAAATGGTCACTGCCATGGAGGTCATCAAGAACCTGCCACGTGAAATATAAGTAAAGAGAAGACGAGCAAAGATAAAAATCAAGACAGGAAAGGGAGCGAGTCCGAGAATCCAAGTGCGTGGGCTCACCAGAATTCAGAAGAGACAAGGAAGAAGAGAGGATAAACGGCTCAAGAAGGCGTCCCCGGGTGTTGGTCAGAACATCACCCCACAGGGAATGACGACAATTGAAATCACCCAGCAGGAGCACAGGCTCCGGCAAGGAGTCTAGTAGGTGTTTCAGATCAGGGAGAGAAAGCGGGACACTCGGGGGTAGATAAATGGAACAAACAGTGTACCATTTCCCCACAAAGATACAAGCAGCAGAACAATGGAGAGGTGAAGGAAAAAGTAAGGGGACAAAGGGAACATCAGAGCGAATCAAGAGAGCAGAAGAGTTAGGAGCCCCAGCAACAGCTGGGGTTGGAAGGGAGAGAAAGGAATAGCCACAAAAGCGACCAGGACGAGCAGCAAGCATCGGCTTCTTGAGACAGACACAAAGGGGCGAAAATCGCAAAATCAGAAAGAGAGAGTTCAAGGAAATTGGAATAATAACCCCGAACGTTCCATTGAAGAATAGACATCGACGAGAAGAGAAAGGACAACAACAGAGAACAAGGAAGAAACAAAGGCGAAAGAGCAACATAGCACTTTAAAGAAGATCACGGTCGGGATCAGGGTCAGCAAAGTCAGGGTTAGGGGGCATGGGTAAACTGAGCAAAGATGGAGGGAAGGAAGCGGGAGAACAGACCAGAAGTCGACAGGCGGGGTCCGGAGGAGGAGGAGGAGGTAGAGGAGGAGGCAACCGAGAGGAGTAGTCAAGGACAGCAGCAGGAAGAGGGGGAGTAGAAAGAGGGGAGCGCACCTCAGCAAGGGCAGCAACCGAGAGGGAAGTGGGGGCCAAAAAACCTCCATAGCAGAAAAAGGGGGTGCAACCACCGAAATGGGAGGGGAAGGGACGATAAATTCAGAAGTAGGGGCCGAGGAAGAAAGCGAAGCCTTCTTACCCGCTGGGGAGGAGGAAAGAGAGGATCCAGGCTTACGCTTCTGACTTAAAAGAGACAGGTGTCCCAGCAACTACGTACTGGGCAACGGATTCCAGCATCTCAACAGGAGAAGCTGAAAGAGAGCACACACGACGGCCGTTAGGAGAGCGATGGACATCAGCCCACACTGACAGGCGGCGGGGAGAGTTAATAGATGGAGGAGAAGGATGGGAAGGAGGATTGGAGGGAGACGAGGCAGAAGACACAGGAGACATGACAGACCGGGGAGAAGGAAGGGGAACCCCAGACAGAGAACCAGGAGGGAAACCCTTCGGAACAGAACTCAAAGGAATAAAGGAGGGGGCAGTGGGCGTATCATGGTCCAAGGCCCGGAAACGGTTGTGGGTCTGAGGATGATGGAAAGGATGAGGAGAGGAAGAGCGCAACAAGCGAGCATAAGAGACGTTAGCCTAAGGCGGGAGCCGGCGAACCTGGCGCCTCGCCTCAGGAAAAGATAAACGCTCCCGGTGTTTCAAGTTGAGGACGGCTGCCTCAAGCTTGTAATGGATACAGGCACAGGAGAAGGCAGGATGGGCCTCACCGCAGTTGAGGCAGCGAACCTGGGGAGAAGTGCACTCCATCTTAGAGTGACCTTCGCCCCCACACAAAGGACAGAGAGAGACAGTCCCAGAGCAGCGGAGGGCACCGTGCCCAAACCTCCAGCACTTGTTACAAAGCCTAGGAGAAGGAATGTACTCCTGGACAGAGCACCTGGCACCAGCAAGAATGACAGAGGATGGAAGGGTCCTACCATCAAAGGTAGTCTTCACAACCCGAAGGGGTTGACGGCGACGACCACGAAGGGGATGAGTAAATGAGTCTACCTGGAGGACAGAATGGCCTTGGGCATCAAGAATATGCCAAACATCATCGTGGCAGTCCTGCAGATTCCGAACACCAGTCGCAACATGGGGCGGGAGGAGAATAGTACCAACACTGGCATTCAACCAAGCATTCTTTGAGACCCGAACAGGGGTCTTGCCAAGGAAGGATAAGGCAGCCAAGCGGGAAGCAGCATCCTGAGAAGGAGCAGCAACGACACGTGTACCGAGACGAGTGGGGTTGAAAGTAATGGAGGCATCCACGGAATCAACGAGATGTCGATGGAGGGAGAAATCGTCAGGAGGCGCAGAATCAAGAGGGAGGAGATCAAAATATTTGGCCTACGAAGCAGGACCAAACAAGGCTTGATAGGTAGCAGAACTGGAAGGAATCGAGCGAGGGCGGCCGCGACAAGGACGGCGGTGAAAACCCCCAGAGAGAGAGGGGTTAAAAGGCGCAGTAGTTACAACTAGAGAAGGAGCCGCGCCAGGGGACGAGGTAGTCACCACTGGGGGCTTGGGGCTCGACCCAACCACAGAGGAGGGAGGGGAGCCAGGGGAAGGAGTCAGAGAGGCCAAAGGAGGAGCAAGGTCGGGGCCCAATGCAGCGGAGGCTACAGAGCCCGGTCTTCCAACACGGACCGACTCGGGGGCTTGGTCGCCCACCCCACGAGCCTGAGAAGGTAAACCAGAAGCAGCCGAAACAGGGGTCATCATCATTACGAAAAGAAGAATTCATTCACGAATGTGCCCCCACACCCACCATGGAGCCACAATTAGAGGCAGGACACCCAACAAGAAGCTATCGCCGATCTTGCCGGAACCTCCTAGGCCCCTGCAAGATCGTGAGTATACGCCCCACATGAGTGTCGTGAGTATACGCCCTACAAACGCTACCTTAAGAAACCGACAGTCCGTTGAGATCGGGTTCAGTGACGAAAGGGGGATTGACAATAAAAGGTTCCCCTCGCTCTCGACGTCGGGTACTGCAGTTCTACGGGTGCAAGAGTATGCCTCCTCAAGCACCCGGGCGTCAAAATAGAAGAAGTCCAAGGGAAGAACCAGAACGAGCAAAAGGTCGGCAGGAAACGGCAAGCAGAGAGGAGAAGAGGGGGGAGAAAAACGAAACAGAAGGAAAAGGAAAAGGTGCCCAGCAGAATTGGAGAGGACGGCAGCAGGAACACAAGGCTAGAAAAGAACAGAGGACTGTCTGTGAGAAGAGGAGCAGTGGAATAAAGTTTCTCAGGAGCATCACACTCCGGCAGCCGCCCACTAAGCCCCCACACGGCGACAACGAGCTGAGCGGGGAGGGGGACGATGTCAGGGTAGTGAACTTCCAGATGTGGAAGGGAAGTTCTTATTGATCACTTGTAGGGAGTTGGTAGAGTGTTTGGTTGTCATTAGCGTGCAAGACGCAGTGAAAGGTGAGTGATTACCATTTTTGTACCAAGAAGTAATTATACTGAAGTATAGAGTTACGACCGTAGGCTGGATTACCTACATATGTGTTCTAGGACTGATAAGGTGATTGATCATTGTTGTTTATCAAGGAATATTTATACCCATATTTATGTTATTGCAGTCATAGGCTGGTTTTCCTTGTATGTATTATATATATAATATATTCTCTTGCTGATAGTGCAATATTGTCTTATAAGACTTGACCTACTTGATGAGGTTGATAGTATAAGTGGTGAGTCAGGAGTTAGGATACCACTTGATAAGCAGATGATAGAGTCCTGATGGTATTGGAGTGCAACCTGACTACAATAGTATAGAGTGTTGGAGATATTATACATGTATATGTATTGTCCATGTGCCTTGTCCAGTAAATGTATTCAAATTTGCTGGTGTTTGCCCTTGTCCTAGTGAGGCTTTCCAGAAAATAGGAGAGAGAGAGAGATAGGAAGAACCAAGAACCAAAGCTGTGGACAGGGTAGTACAGAGTAATATCAAAGAAAAGAGGATTGAGATCATACCACATAAGGAGAGAGTGGGGAGTCACGGCGGCTCTAGTAGGTGTGTGCACGTGACAAGGAGGCTAGTGTTGGAGCCGTATCCCCTAAACGTGTGACGTTGAGCCCCTCTCCAAGTGCCAGAAGCATCCAGGGGGATCTCCTGGTCAAAGTAAGCACTCTACGGAATTTTGGGTTGGTTGTCCGAAAGGAAGGACCGACAACATCGTAATGGTACTCAGAACAAAAATGCCAAGTAGCACGGGCTATGGTGAGCCCGTAGTGGACTTACCTGGCACAGGACCGGGGGCTGTGTTTTTTCTCCAACAGATTGAATGTCGTTCCTTATAGGTACGTCTCACGTGGCTGAGCTCCCTCTCACCTAACTAGGTGCTAATAGAACAGCTAGCCGGACACTGACTTCACGTTGGTTCAGAGACTTACAATACCAATGTACTCACTTTAAACCGGTCTCTTCATGTACGCTCCTCCACATTCATTCCACTCTGCAGTACACTGAAGATTGGAATGCACCAAACACAAACAAACAAATACACCAAACCTCCTCAACACGTGGTTACAGCAGAACCACGGAGGATGACCCGGTGCTTGAACACAGGGTGTTGGGAGAGATGAACACAGTATTGTGCCCACGGTGTAGCATGGTAGGAGAGTGTCATGGGAGGCTGGCAGCCTTCACCGCTGATGATGGTTCATACCCACCCTCACACGTAACACACCTCACATAACAGGTGTGTTACGAAATGGCGACACGGCGAGATGAGATTCACTGTCCCAAACAGTGAACCGTAATTCCCTGAATTACTAATAAAAACTTTCCACAATCACTGGAGAGCTTTCCTGCTTCCGCCTCTGCCAGGTATCTCAGACCTGTGAACTGATGACGAACGATGCAGGCTATAATCGCGGATCACTCAAAACAGTCTGTTGCCTCCTGTCGAAATCATGCAGTTGAGACTGTACCTTACTGATCTCATCCATCCCAAATTAATCCAACACTCGCACAAATTGGATTCCGTTTGCAATCTAGCAATAGCAGAAATAAAATGGATGATATTGCCGCATTGGCAGGGATTTGTTGTGGTTGGTCGTCCACACACAAACTCCCTCACCTAGTCAGGACAACATGCGGCCTCAGAATGCCCTGGAGGGCGCCAAGACACTCTCCCCCTCTTGTCTTGACTTGACTAATCACAGCTAAGCGCGGCAAAAGCCGAGGTGCCTGCACGAATCTCAGGCGACCCTCGGTCATGAGGTGCCTGGCTGCCGTCACAGTTCGGTCATGAGGTGCCTGGCTGTCGTCACAGTTCGGTCATGAGGTGCCTGGCTGCCGTCACAGTTCGGTCATGAGGTGCCTGGCTGTCGTCACAGTTCGGTCATGAGGTGCCTGGCTGTCTTCACAGTTCGGTCATGAGGTGCCTGGCTGTCGTCACAGTTCGGTCATGAGGTGCCTGGCTGTTGTCACAGTTCGGTCATGAGGTGCCTGGCTGTCGTCACAGTTCGGGAGGCCTGCTGTTGACTTAAGCGAGGAGCCGTTGGCTTGGCTGACCCCAAGCTCCTTCACCTTCTTCACACTTGCTACATTTCTTACATGTAAAACATGTGAATGTCTGTACCTCTACTCACAGCTGGGCTACGACGGCCATCATATCCTCATTGAAGGTCGGAAAGCCTAGGCTACACATAGACTTTAAACACGAGATGTTTCGTGAAAGATTTACAGAATCTAGGACCCGCGCACCTTGGTGAACTCATGTCCTAGTGTGTGCACTCCAGCACACAACTAGAAGCTAGCGGAAAATCCATTCCCTCACACAGTCACCGGCCTGCAACACAACACAGCCATCAGTACCTTCCATTCACTGCCCTGCAACACAACACAGCCATCAGTACCTCCCATTCACTGCCCTGCAACACAACACAGCCATCAGTACTCACCCCAGAGTGAGTAACATAAGATACTCACCCAGCACCTGATGACGTTGTTACTCGCACCAAGTTACTCACCGAGCGCCTGATGACGTTCTTGTAGATGTTGTTGGCGAACATGGAGGAGGCGAAGAGGATGGAGGAGTCCGCCGACATCATGAAGGCGGAGCCGACAGCTAGCAGACCCACTACCATCACCCACTGTAACATCACACTTTGCTTATTATATTCTCACTAAACACAGTTCTTCCTGGTATTATTTATAGTATTAATATCAGTAATATTTTTGTACTATAATTACAATTATTACACAGAAATCCCATTTTTGTGATATATCAATGAGAAAATCCACAGGAGCCTTGATGAGGATTCGAATCTATGCAATGAGTATTCCCAGATGGACGCTCTAACCGTCTACACCACGACATGGTCATAAGAATTGCAATCTGGTGTACTGCTGCACCCTCGTGGCTTTCTGAGGTTTCCACTGAAGCTGAAACAGGGTTTCACACAAATTCCCCCATGCACTCTGGCTCTGTCTTCCAGTAGTTCTACCTCTGATGCATCTCTTTCTATATTTCAATACTTAGACCCAGTTCATATGAAACCTCCATCCCTAATCAAGGTGGTGTAACTGTGCTCCGAGTCAAGATTCCTAAGTGTTTGTGTTAATATATGTGGCAGAGCACTCACGTGGCGTCCATCACTAGACGTCACCATCATTATGCTCCCCAGGGACTCCTCCGAGGGATGCCGAAGCTTATGATGAATGATCAAGTGTCCAGATGTGTGAGAATATCAAAGTGAGAATAGACAGTATCCCTGAGAGGGAACGGATTCCAGCTATCTTAAAAATTAGTGATGTAGAGGGCACACCACCATTTTGCTTCCTCCCGGAGTTTTTTTTTTTTTTTTTAGTTTTTTCTACTGAGTGAACAGGGAGAGTGCACCAAGTCTAGTGTCATTATTATGAAACATAGGTATGCCTTGTTGGGTATTGAGAGACAGCGTATGTCAACAACTGTCCGTTGGCACCACAATGGCCAGTGTGGGTGCCAGCATAAGAAAGTTACAGCAATGTGTATATAGAGAGAACAGTAGAAGAAAGGATGTGGTCGCCAGGTCAAGACCTTTTCCAATTACTGTGTAAACACAGGTCTCCTCCAGTGACGTCACGAGCATCATGCCACCCGAGGGAAGGCCCCGATTGGATTAGGCACTACATGCCTGGTCGCTGATCGGTTCTTTTAAAGAACAAAGGGACAAGAGTGTGTGTAGCCGCCAGGTTAGGCCGCTGCCTGCACTGTCCCACATTCTGAGGTCGTCGCTACACCTGCCGAGACGTGAATTCCATAGTTGTCGGCCAGCAACCAGGAACACCATCTAAACGCGACCTTAAGCTTATCTCGTCATCTACGTTTCGTCTCACGTGTCCGTCTACAGAATCCGGGCTCGTGCGAGATCGAAATAAAAAAATATACGAGTGATAAACGAGAGATATAAAGTGTATCTCCACACAATATCCAGCAGAGTGCAACAGACTGCCCCGGGATCATCTTTATTTATCTCCACCATCTGTCATCATCCATTAGCCTAAAGCTACGTGTGTGGAGAGTAGGTAGGTGTTTAGCAATTGTTTTCCAGTGAACCGTGAATTCTTCCGAGTGAGGTTAGTACATTATAGCCCGTGCTGGGAGAATGGTTTTTCCTGCCATCACCATGCCTGTTAACCCCGTGTGCCCCTGGAAATGAAAGAGGGGGTTAAGAAAGAGAGGCAAGGAAAATGGGAAGAATCAGATACCATATTAGTCATGCGGGGTCAACCTTGACCCACATGACTAAAGAATAATAAAACTGCAATTAACTGAAGAGAACTCCACCTAATAACAGTGCCAAGACAACACTCGGCACTGTAAACCCAAAAAATTACAAAACCTATCAGTATCCTTTCTCGAAGAACTCGACCTGCTTGAGCAATCTCATGAGTTGAACGTGTGCATATACGACAGACTCAAATATAAGAGAAGACAGTGAAGAAGTTCTGAATGTTACCTAAAGAAATGAGACACACACACACATATATCTAGGCAATTAATAAGGTAGCAGGAAATTAATTAGATCAAATCAACACTGATGGCTCTGCTAACCCAACTAATGGCAGGGCTGGAACAGTGTACTCTGAAATCAGAGATAACTGATTTCAAGACTAAAATGAGGAAAATTACTGATTGAGATCCACACTTCCTCAACACAAACAGGGTACCCTGCCGTTATTATGGCATTAAGGTATCTGGAATGAAACAAAAAGAGCAGTGATCTGCACTGACTCTAGAGAGGCAGTGCAAACTCTCCTAAAAAGTCAGACTGAAAACTTGTGGACAGTGGCTGAAATCAAGAAAGCAGTGAAAGTCTTATAGCCAAGAAAGGATGATGACTATCTTTAATGCGGCTGTTGTATCCCGCGTGACTCAGGACCTGGAAAGTAGAGTTGGAAATCCTACTAGATGATATACTCAGCCCGAGAACCAAAGGAAGGTAACCACCAAAGACACTCTGCAAGCTGAACTGATCGCGGAAAGAGGGAAGACCCGAGGTAGATACAAGAGCACTACACAGACCCCTAGAGCTCAGAGCGGCAGCAAAGAGCCACCGTGATAACAAGGACGTGGTAGTAAGGAAAGACGACAAGTCACCAATATACGTCATCATAAAAAAGAGATGAGTATTTTGCAAAAATGAACCTCATCCTCTCTGACCAAACATAATTCCTGAGGGTCATTAGATTTTCGCACTTATCTTTGGCTTCCCTATAACGATCCTTTCTCTCTCACAGAACTCCAGTCTGCCCTGTCCCTCTGTGGGTCTATTGCGGCAGGCTTGGATGATACTCATTATGAGATGCTTTTCCATCTCCACGCACGTTTCAGTATTTACTTAATGTTTATAACCGTGTCTGAGAGTCGTTGTCAGTCCCTGAGGACCGGCTTGAGGCAGTTGTTCATTATATCTGGAAACCAGGTTTTCTAGGGTAATCTCCTAAAGACTTCCGCCCCATTGCTCTCACAAGTTGCGTCTGCATACTCTTTGAACGTATGGTTAATGTCAGTCTGATGTGGTTCTTGGAACACTATCACCACCTCCTCCCTTCTCAAAGTGGCTTTTACAAGTGTCGCAGCATAAATGATGTCTCGGTGAACTTGGAGGTCTATATTCTTACTGTCTTTGTTGCGAAGACCTCATGATTGCTGATCTTTTTGACCCAGAAAAGGCATATGACACCACCTGGCGATACCATATTCTTTCCTAACTCCGTTCTTTTGGCTTTCATGATAATCTCCCTCTCTTCCTCCAGAGCTTCCTTTCTAATTGTTCCTTTAGAATGAGCTTGGTACCACTCTCTGTGCCTCTTTTCGGCAATACGAAGGTGTATCCCACGGTAGTGTTCTGAGCACTACTCTGCTCCTGGTTGCCCTCAATGGTCTTCTCTCCTCCCTTCCCTCTTGAATTTCCTCAGCTGTCTATGTTGACGATCTCTGCTATACAGGTGATGACTCTCCTTTCCTCTAATGGCGGCTTCAACTTGCGATTGATGTCGTGTCGTCCTGGGCCACCAATCATGGCTTCAAGTTCTCTCCGGCTAAGACGTGTTATGAACATTACTCTGAAGCCAATCGTCATTCGACCCCCTCTGTCGCTATATGATAATCCTCTTTCGTATAAGGATTCTGCTAAACTTCTGGGGTTAATCTTTTCTAACTTAAGTTGGACCTTAACTTACTTAAGGTCTTGTCCCATACTTACTGGGGAGCTGATTGGCGCACGTTCCTCTCTTTACATTCCTCTCTCGTGCTGTCTAAACTCGATTATGGTTGTCCTGCTTACTCGTCTGCCTCTCCCTCATCTCTTCGCTGGCTTGATGCTCTGCACCATACTGGGCTACACCTCGGCTCTGGTGTCTTTTGTTCAACTCCTACTATCAGCCTGTATGTTAACACCGGCATTTTGTCTCTGAAGGATCGCCGTGATCGTTACTGTCTTCACTAATTTGCGCGGTTCCTACAACACCCAGTCTCTCACTTATACTATACTACGATCATTACTCCTCCCATGGGCCTTGTTCCCTTTCACCACCTTTCCCTTTCTGTACGATTGTCTCGCTTGCAAGGTTCTCTCTCTTGGTTTGTGTTACCAATACTTCTCCTCGTATCGTTCCCTCTTTGCCTCCATGGAGGGTCCCTTTTCCTAAGTTTTGTAGAACCTTCACCCGCATGAGTAAGGTTTTTACCCCTCCTACAGATCTGAAACGCTTTTTCCTTGTTCACTTTTCTTGACAATACCGCTTGATCTCCGTCATGATGAGTCTAAGTCTGCTGACAGTGTAGGCTACTCCATTGTGTTTCCTGACCACACCTATTTGTGTCTCCTGCCCCCGTAGACTAGCATCTTCACGGCTGAACTTTATGCCATTTTGTATGCTCTTCGTCAACTGCTTTCTCTCCGTCATTCTTCCTGTTGTTGGCGTTGACTCTCGCAGTGCCCTCATGATTTTGGAGTCCATTAATCCTGTCCATCCTGTGGTCGTCGAAACTCAATATTGGCTGTTTCGCATCACCAGCAGGTTTATGACAGTGGAGTTTTGCTGGGTTCCCAGCCATATTGGTGCATGCTCTTAAATGAACTTGCAGACGCTACCCAGTTATTCATTCCTCCATCCTTGCCCGTTAGCAAGATCACTGGTCTTCTGTTACTGGTAACAAACTGTGTGCTCTTAAGGGTAGCATGTCCCCGTGGCCTTCCTCCTACCACTGTAACCGGCGGTGGGAAACGGTTCTGGCGAGCTTACATATTGGTCATACACGTTTAACTCACGGGAACTTAATGGAGCACCGCCCTGCTCCTTCGAGGACGAGCGTGTGTCTTGCTTCCCAACCGTCCTTCGTAGTCACTTGTCACTCGATAGAAGTGTTGGTGAATCGGATGACTTTGATGTTGTTCGCCTTATGCGCTTTGACACTAGCTCTCCACATATTTCAGTTGCTTAATTTAGAAACTGTACCTGTGGTCGACCTCGAACCAATTGTTGATGTGACGACTTGTACTGAATTTTGTAACTAGCTCATCAAGATTGTAACTTGCTTAGCTAAATGAATTGTTGGGTTCAGTCCCAGAGCCCATTATGTGCCTCTGTAACCCTTTCCACT